GCCTGGAGGTCACCTGCTTTTCCAACCTCTCCCAGTTCAGTCATTCCACTTGGAACCTGCCTTTGGGCTGTACCTGCACGGTGCCAAAAGCATACCAGGCTCATTCCTGCACTTGGGGATGGCCTTTTGCTTACAGCACCACCAGGCTAGAAAAAGCTGTGTTATCTCACCGGGAAGAGAGGATTCACAATTACTCATCAGGCAACAGCCCTGGAAGACCTTCTGATCCAAAGCCTTGGGAGCACAGCTACGGGATACTTCCCAGTTATTTTGGATACTTCATTTATTCTTCTGCATCGATGATGATGACACATTGTCACAGGTCCACTGTCCACTCAAGGCACTCCCAACAGACTGAGCAGTCGTTATTGACATCTGAGTTCCAGGGACTCGTGAGCAGACATGAGGGAAGGAGGTGAAACACTTCCCGTTAGAGCTGTAGCAGGTGGCCTGAATATGAGCTGTGTCTCTGTTGGCTGTACAGGCAGTGGAGGTTGGGCATCCTGAAAAGTAAATCACTTTCAGGAGAAGTTTCTTGCTTCTGTTTGGACACCCTGATAAACAGGAAGGTTACTGAAACACAGTAATGCACATCATGCTAAGGAATTCATTGATGTGAGGCTCAACAGCGTAGCACTCCTGGGTCCTCATACTCAGACATCCTCTTGTGTATCTTGGATCATCCCCAATTACAGTTGTAATCTTCCCAAGTGTTATTCCAAATCTCCAATATCAGTTCTACCACTCATTAGATGCATAATACTTCACCATTTTTACTTGCAGCATCAGCCCCAAAATACGAGTAGCAGTTTTACAAATAAGTGAAAGCTACTTTTAAACTTCCTACTCCTAAAACAAAACACTACAGTTCATTTCTATTTTCACCTCAGAATGAACTGTGACTATAGCAAAGTCTGACTAAAAATACTATTCACATCTCTGGAAGATACAAATTATTTCTCAAATCTACATTTTTTTTCAAATACACGACACGTGAGTTTTGCACGATTACGGAGACTCTAGGAAACCACTACTCTCGACTTTTCAGAATTATTTTGAAGGGAGTTCAGTTCAGCAGCAACTCCACTAGCTCTCTTGCTTTTATCCCTGGATTCATTTGTTGAAAATCAGATTTGCTGACAATTAAAATCAGCTTTAATAAAAAGAATTGAGCGATACCCATAGCTATAAACAAGCAAAGATGCAACATCTTTTATCTTACAGGCACTTTTGAGACGACAGTTTCTAACACAGTAGCTAAGCATTATCAGAAATACCTGGTAGCTTCAAGAGAACTGTGAGAAGCCTTTAGCAGCTGTGTGGTACAGCCTCTTAAAGCAGCCTCGTGAAGATGAAAATATGGCCAGGACAGTTACTGCTTTTTGCAGCCTTTTCAAAGGACTGCAAGTTTTCAGATTCAGCGAGGCCAAGCAGCAGTTGTAGAAATAGCCTGCAGAATCTGAGCAGGAGTTTCTGATCGGAGTTTGTTACATAATCAATTATTCAGGTAACGTAGGAACCCTGCTCTTCACAGCACAGACACAAAAGTGAATTTCCCATCGCTGCTAAGAATCAACGCACCGTGCTGGCACTGCTGTGCTCTGCAATCATATTCTGTTTTTACTTCATCTACCCCTTCCAACTTGAGATATCCTATGGAATTTAAGAAACTGTACTTCATAAAAGTAAGGGCAAAATTATCTGTACTTTATTTTAAAAATAGAAAAAAAGAACAAAGACCACTTACTTGCAGAGGCTCCACGAGTTCTAAGGTATGCTTCAGGTTGATTAAATTAGTTCCTTTTGATTCAGCAGTTCTAATCTGTTGAAAATTTTTCCAAATATTGGGGGGGTTAGCATGACTGCTCTAAAAAGTACTTAAGAACTAGTAGACCTCCTATTCTTAACAGTAACAGGCTCATATATTTAACAAAAATTCCTGAAACGCTTCCTAAGCTCACTGTGACAACTTGGCATTTTGACTTAGGTGTTTTCAGTGTGTGCCTGTACTATTCACTTTTACTTGAGGTTACCTAATACCAAGATATGTAACCAGGCTTTGGGGCTAAAATCCAGGTAAGAAAAATAGGTATGTTTGGCTGATTCAAACTTGCCAACGGATCAGCAAAAATTCTGCATCAATAACGCTAAAAAAACCCCCAGATAAACTTCAAGCAGTTCATTTACTGCTGCTCAGCTCCTCCTGGAACCACCCAGCCTCTTCCACTGGGGACTGAAGCCATGCCAAGTGCCACTCTCTGCGTGGAGGTGTCTCCCAGTCCCATCCCTGAGAGCAGAAGCGAGGCAGGGGCTCTCCTGGGGACGTGGTGCAGCAGCATCTCCTCTGTCTCTGCACAAAGGGGGTCAGTCAGCATCCCCAGGGAGCACAGCACAGCCCTACAGGAGATGCCTGTCCCCCTCCCAGCCAGGGGCAACCCTTCCCTCGCCACTGCCTCTCGCTTTGGGCACAGACTGCCCAGTGCTGTGCACTGAGGACAGGGGAGGGAGAAATGACAACGGGAAGGCTCAGGACTCAGCCCAAATAATGCGCTTTTCCACTCCGAAGAGCAGAGGAGGAGCAGGCACAGGTTGCTGCAACCCCCATGCCCAGTGAGGGCCATTTTGGGAACCAGCCACCACGCAGTCCTGGGGCTGAGGGTGGGCTGTGCCCACCCAGGACCTGGCCCAGAGCAGCACCTGGCACCCAGCCACCCTCGCCCTGCCCCACAGCAGGCCTGGGGAGCCACGGACTGCGCTGCACATCCCGATAAACATCACTGAGCCAGGCACAGCACAAACCCCATGCCAGCCTGAACGTGCCACAGGGCACAGACATCAAACACAGCTGAGCCAAGCTGTTGGGAAGGATGAATTAGGGAAACCTTATAAATATGAGTGCCTAGCAAAAGACTTTGAGAATATAGAAAATATAAACGAAATAGAAATGATAGCAATTTTCAACTGTGTGGTTGAAAAGCAACTGAATGCCTGAAGACCCCTTTGTTTAGATAATGTTAGATGCTGTGAATACCAAGAAGCAAAGAGACATCCTCCCTAGGCATAGCAGGAAGAGTCCCAGATAAATTTTAGAGATAAGGAGTAAAACATGGTAATATAGTGATTCCTATAGGTTGCATGCAAACGTTAAAGAATTTTTATCTTGTATTAGATTGGTTAGTGGAAATTAGAATAGTCAACATGGAAGAAGATTTAATGTATTATAAAGGGGAAAATCTCTCTCTTATGCTCTTACTTGCTTAGGCTCTCTTACTTCTCTTACTTTACTCTCTTCTCTTACCACTCCTACACTCCTACCTCTTACCGGCCTTAGCCCTCTTACCTCTTACCCC